GAGATGGCTAGCGCCACGCGCTGTTGCTCGGTCTGGAGCATGGCGGATGCGATGACCAACTCGACCTCTCTCACCCAGAGTAGGATACTATCTCCATCCTTCCCCTGAAAAACTTTAACGCTCACCATGAGCGGCTTAGGTCGGGGAAAGTCATCCGTCACAGACGGTGGCGTCATAGACGCGAACGATGCAGACATCTTCTGCTGCAGCGCGTTTTCGTAACTCGAAAACGCCTCTAGACGCGCACCGATTGCCTCGGGACCTTGTGTCACAAGGTGGTGCACGCCCTCAGGGCCAAGCAAAGACATCAGCCTATTAAGTCCGTCCTGCATGCCCTGGGACAGAGAAGAAAATTGTTCCATCCTCACCGAGGATTCGTCGAACCGACTCAGGTGTAGATTGACTACAAGTGGTACCAATTGCAGCGTGGCTGCCATAGCTTTGCGCTTGAGGGAGCGTCTTTAGGTCACCGACCTTTCGTTCTTTTCAAAAACCAAATACCAGTGCAGCGGATCGCAATCCGCTGCCTCTTAAAGTACTTAAAAGCCTTAATCTAGGCAAACGAACACTTCTGTTCAAAAGCGAAACTGATTTTTATTTATCTTTTTATCTTAATTTTAAAAGTTAAGATCTTCTTAAATATACCAAATATATATAGTAAAATCTAAATACCTGCATAACTGCTAGCTACCTAGCCACATACCGTATTCTTGTTTGGGTGCAGTCACACCATGCACATCTTGTGTGACACACACCCCTATTACCAGGGTACGTATAACCCCGTTACATAGAACGTAAGGTCGGTGACATTGACTTAGCTTTCCTCTAAGCAAAAGAGCTACCGCAGCCCCGTTGTACACTGCCCCCCTGAAAAGGTTGGGTGGACGCGAAAATCTCGAAGTAAGCGACGCATTGTGCAGAGACCGCATTCGACGATAATAAATTTTTTTCGATTTCGGAAGGAGATCTGTCATCATTTTGCCTGTGAATTTACTTTAAAATTCTGGACAGAATCCGCTCAATTGACAGAGAAGAAATCTGATCGCAGACGGGAGACCTGGTGAGGTAATTTCAGCATCTTTGTTATCTTCCCCTTCAACACAATTGTGTTGTTTATGTCTTCACACAGAGGTACGGGACGTAACGATGCATTCTTGCTCGCAGCCTCTAGTAGAAATTTTATCGCTATTGCTTCGTAAATGTCTGGCACGTAGCACAAGTAGCGTCATGGTGGGAGCGGGCAATAAGAAATTGAAGCTTGTCAGACATGTTGTGCTCCACGAGGACTTGTAGGTGAGCAACTCGTCGTGAATCTTATATTTTACCATTACATATAGATGCGGTTGTGAAATTGACGACGAATGCCTTTAGATGCAACTGTTCTATGCTTATATATCGCACAGATAAAGCTTTGATTTCATGTGCCGGCGTCAATTAGTGCACATAGGATCGAAATGAGCGTTCTGTCAGTAAACAAATTTGAGAGAACCTTTTAAGCAGCAAAAAAATCTGCTACTCATTTTAATAGTGATAAAAAAGTGCATACATTAGATGATATTTTAGTATAGACCATTCAATAATCTCGTGTAATGAATAGAGCGGTTGCACATATTAATCTATTACTATGCGTTTTTTTGTGTAGTAATTTCATCTCTTCTTACCAGAGGGTGATATGACTACTACATGCAGTACGGACATTACAAAAATTAGGTACATTTGCGGCACAAAAAATGGTAGCTGATTGTCTACTTGTACGCAATAAATATTAGCCTGTTTTGCCTTTTCTTTCAAACTAAATGAAAAGGGGCACTCAAATTGATAAATTCGCGTGATCTGGATATTGCAGTTTCATAAATTTCATTCACTCGTTTGACAAATCAAACAGGTTTAATCTTGTTTTTTGTATGTGGTCCACAGCGTTCCTCGTAAAAAACGTGGAGTCGGTCTCAACATGTACGAAATAGACGCGACAGGATCAGTTAATTCAGCTTTTCTTGTAGTCTGAAAGCCTGTAAGTTTTTCGAATTTGAACCCATCTCGAGGTTCAAGTTACACAACATCATTCTTTTCCTCAATAGAATCATTCGACTCTAACATAGGTGACCATTCTTCTCGCATCCTCAACTTTTAAAGGTAATGTTTTTGCACA